CAGCCTATTTATATAAAAGCTTCAAATAACGCTAGTTTTGTTTCCACTTATGATTTCACTAAATTAGATCTAAAAGATTTAATAAAAGTTATTAATTAACTGTTTGAAAATTTTATAGACATAGAAATAAATATTCCAAAATATACATTTATTAAAATTCAGTGTAAAAATATAAACAGCAAAGTACAGTTGAATATTTTTGATAAGAGCATTTAAATATCTTATCTTTGGTCTACCCACCCTCCAATAGTGTAGTTCTTCATATGATGCTAAGAGGCATCATTACATCACAATCAAAACTATTTTTAATTGTTTGTAATAATAAACTAGAAAATAATGGTTATAAATACTGGCAAATAAAAAAGTTTTTTGCAAGGTTTTATAATAAATATGAAAATATATATTACTAGATAAGTATTCAATGAGGAAAAAAAAAACCTTTTGTCACTAGAAGTAGTTAGCTACCTTTAATAATTAACGTTAAAATTTATTCAGTATAGACAGGACTGGAAAGACTAACTTCAAGTAGCTGGGCTTGTCTCAGCTATTCCATGCTATACTTGAATAAAGTTACAAAAAAGAAAAAATATGAACTACCTACAGTACTTAAGGTAGGTTTTGTAGTTCTTTTTAAGATCTAGTATGAATTTTGTGATATTTAAGATCTTGTATAAAATATATCATTTTCAGAAAAGGTTGGAGGTTGGGAGTAACTTGGTGAAGAATTATTAGGGTGTTTATTATTCTACTTTAGGAATTTTTAGAACTTTTAAGGTAATGTTTAGTAGAAATATTTTTAGGGTGGATTTATTCTATTTTTACTTTTGGCTTTAATATACATCTCTTTAAGGGTAACTGCCTTCCCACAACTGGCTGCAGACAGTGAAAGGCAGTAAGAATTGAGATTATGAGCACTCAACTCTGCACCCCTTATTTAATTTTCCACGACTGCTAAATGGTTTCTTATCTGCTGTTTGGATAGATGGGGATATCCCCAATGCTTTTAGGTGCTATTACCACAGGCAATTTCCGTCATGGCCATTGGATTATGACTGGAAAGTGCGATGATTTTTTAAAGTTCTGGAATTTTTTTATATTATGTTCATTATTGTTTTATAGTGCTAATTTTGATAGCCTATTAACAATTAATGTAATTGATATAATAGTTTTGAAGCTATTCCTTTGATTATATATACACACACACACACACTCATATATATAAAATCAAAAATGTAAATCTTCAATTTTAAAGCTTTTCACGATTCATCTCTCCAATACATCCTTTATAAGTTTTAGCTTTACTTTTTGGGGTCATTCTGGGCGATTTCGCAAGAATTCCTTTTGAAATTAATTAAATGTGGTCTTAGGGGTGGATTAGATGGATCTCCAGTAAGTACATTATATTAATACTAATACTCCTACTATTATATTTATAGTAATAATATTATTAGTACTAACACTAGTAGTAGTAGTACTAGTACTAGCGTTACGTTAGCAGTGACAATATATATAATAAAAGTATATTGTTAGTAACACTAACACTGCACAGTCTGCAATAAACATTAACATTAAGAAAAGCTGAACAGTAAAACTCACAGTATCAGTAGTACTACAGAATCCGAGAAAGTTGAGAAACACGCTCGAAATTTGGCCTTGGGTTAAGACTTAATGTCTTAAGTAACACACTAACACTTTAACCTAATAATTTTATTAATAACGTTATAGACAATTTCATACGTGTGCATGATTAACCTTCTAAGTTTGCTAACGAATAATGTCAATGTACTTTATTAATTTCATGATGTAGGCAATTAGTATTAACAGTTAATTTTTGAAATTTTATAGTACCTACTTATAAAGTTATAATCAACAAATAATATTATCACATTTTCACATACAGATGATCTACGTTTCTAGTTCTCGCAACGCAATTATGGAAAGCAAAATGAAGAAAACATTTTTTTAAAATAAATAAATAAATATTAATACTCCATTTAATCTGATAAACAACTCAAACAGTCCGTTAACTTAAACCAATACCTTTCATAGGAAATATATATAATTATATGAATAACATGTTGCCTAATGAAAATTTTTCTTTCCATTCTAGCTGCACAGTTTCGGCACTAGTAAGGTAGAATATTCGACGTTTCACCAATGAAAGTGGGTTTTTCGGGGTACTCCCGTATCCCCCACAGTTAATTCTCGGCACTGGATCTTCAAGTACCAGCCCAATCATTGGATTTTTAGTTCCCCGCCTCCCTGAAAAGAGCTTTCTCTCACTATGCTCCTAAATCTTTTTTCTTTATTTATATATTTTATTTCATTTAATTATTTATAAAGTACCATTTACTTCTTAATTATACTATATGTATATGCATGTGTATATATATATGTACTTTTTTTTTTACGGGGCTGATGTATTGGTCACAAATCTCGGATCCTCTTACATCGTCACTTCTTCACGGCTTTCTCCTGTGTCGGCATTTCCAATTATGAGTCAATCCATTTCCAACTTATCTACCAATCACAAGTAACCTCATCCTTCTACATTCAGGTAACGAAAACGTACCGTTTTTCTTCATTCAACCTTATTGATCAAGTTAAACCCTAACGCCTGTGGGGTGAAGAGAAAGCGATGGTTTCTTAGCATCCCAGGTTGTCTTTTTCGCAACGAGATAGACTTCACAACCGAAACAACTACTAAAAATAGATGGATAGATAATACCAATAACAAATACTTTTAATCTATTAAACAAAACAGTCTCCGTTCTCTGTATGTTGATAGTCATGTTAAATTAGCCATAATGTGTTACTTATCAGCAGTCTTTGCAAAAAACAAAATACTTAAGGAGAAGAATGGACGTGTTGGCACATCTAGGTGTCCCGTTCACTAAACTAAACTAAAGGATAAAAACGATCACTTAAGGCCATTTCTTATCATTTAATTATTTATCAAGCCTTCCCTAAAACTCCCTTAAATTTGCTGCATCCATTACTCTAAATGAAATCCATTACAAAGACCAATAACCCTGTTAGAAGAACAAAAATTACTTAGGTGACGATGACTCCTATCCTGCCAAATTTTATATCTGTGTCCCTTAATCCACCATTCTCACCATTAAGTAGGAAAAAAAAGATGATGTTTTGACATTATCAATTCCCCAAATAATCATAGACATCTCAATCAGACCCCCCTTAAACTCTTCTTTTTTCAATATAAAACAGTTTCAGAAATCTTAACCGGTCCTCATATGCCAACTTTTTGTCTCAGGCATTATCCTAGTAGCCCTCTTGTGAATTCTTTCCAACAAATCAATATCCTTCCTGTGGCAAGAAGCCTAAAACTGCACAAAATACTCCAAACATGGCCTAACCAGTGACCAAGAATGAAATTATAACCTCTTTAGACATATATTCAATATTTCTGTAAATATAACCTAAGATCCTACTTGCCCTACCACTAGCAATAGTACAATTGAGAGACTTATCAACCAAAATAGCAAGATGCTTTTCTTTCATAACACTATTAAGGTTATTCCCAACAAAAATATACATAAAAGTTTATTATGATAACCCACGTGCAGTATCTTTCGATTATTAAAACTGAGATCCAACTGCTATTTATCCCCCAACTCATGAAATAATCTAAATTCTATGTAAAGCAGCAGCAGCATCCTCACAGCCAGCAACACTCACTGTCCAAGTGCCTACAGCAATTACTACTTGCAACCTGTGACATTAAATTTTCACAGTAAGTTGCATCTTACAAAAACCCACTGGAAACAGTTTTAGATAACATTAATGATGACAAACTAAACAGCATTCTTTTCTTAGACTATGGTTGTTTTACTTTTTCTCACATTTACACAACTACTTGGCATGTCATTGCCGGTGTAGTATTTTCTGGCTCGCGGATTTAACACAGTCTAGTCAGTTCAGGTTTGCTAATTGGAAGTGTTACGTCTCTGTTCGTTTGTTAATTTCCGGTATAAATTCTTTCCGAGGAACTTCAGCGATACAAGTCCTTTCTTAAATAATACTAGTTTATTCTTTCTCGATACAACTTTGTAATACACTTAATTTCCACAGTCATTTTAAACTTAACAACCTTTATAACGCTATAAATCATAGTGATTCACACACTTTAC